GCCGCCTCCCGCGTAGCCGGCTGGCCTGGCTGCTGCTCCTGCCCGCTTTCTGCCTGTGCTGAGGCTCCCCGTGCCCTGTCGGGCCTTGCCGTGCTGGGGCTTTCCTTGCTTTGCTCTGCCCTTTCTCATCTCTGGCCCTAAGAGGAAAAGAGGGTTATGGTGTTGCTGGGCGTATTCCTGAGTCCGTATTTACTCAGGGTTTCTTTAAGTCGAGTGAGGTAAGGGAAGCAGCTGTGAGGAAGGGTTTGGCTTACTGGAGGTGTTTTCCTTCACGAGAAGCAGTGGTTTACCAGAGCTGAGCACTTGCCTGTTACACCTGGCAAGCCCTAGTGTAGCTTTAAAGAGTCCACCAGGTCTCTGAGTGTAAGTACAGCATTCTTCAGTTTTGCGAGAGGGGAGTTCCTGAGTTTCGTTTTAGAAGAATGAAGAACTCAAATAGGGAACATGTGAGACACTTTCAGTTCTATTTCATGTGCTGTGGGATTAATATTCTTGCCTGTATGGCTGCTTTGTGAAGCAACAGTATTAAGAGAAGGAGAACTGGGAGAAAATAATCTTCCTGCTGTATTTTAGTAACTGGGCAGAAGGGTGGAGAACTCTGCATGATTCGTTACCTTTCCATTCTATCTGGAAAATGCTATACCAGTCACAGACAGCCATGCTGATACAATTAATGAGAACTGTATTTAATCCTGAAAGATCCTGTTTTGCTGCTCTGAATTTGTTTTTATTGTGGAGGTAGAATATTCAGTAGTGTGTTGTCTAGCGTGAGTGCGTCCATGTCCACCATTATGCAGTAGGGTCTCTGTACATCAGCATCACTTGTACTTCTCCCAACAGCAGCAAAGTTGTCTTGTGACTTTTAGTTGACTTAGGTGCTGTTTAGAACGGACGGTGTCAAGTACATCACTGCTGGAATCAGAGATGCTCTTTAATTGTTTTGATATTCCTCTTGAATTTAACAACAAAATTCCTTTCCATCTGACGTGCTTAAGGCCAGCTGGTGCATATTTAGTGGTTTGTTTTTAAGTAATGCTTACAACTAATTGTACAGCACAGTGGTGGAAATAGCTACTGGGTTTCTTGCATTGATTTTAGGGGGGTGGTGCTTAGCAGGCCGCAAAGCAGTTATTTTGAAGTTTATTTTCATCCATGTTCAAAAGGAGATGTCAAATGTAACTCCACTGTGACATATTTCAGTGTTTCCTTTTGATAACATACTTCAAAAATACAGACTGAAAACTTGAAGTGCCTTAGGAGGCCTGGTTTCATTCTAATCTGGCTTAAAATTTTGCATGAATAGTGGGTGTGGGAGAGGGAGGGAGACCAGTAATTCAGGTGTATTTAAAATGTACACCCTTGCTTGGAATCATAGATGTAACTAGTTCCGGTATTTTTTGTTGCGCAAGCAAAATCTGCCTTTGCACTGACAGAAATTTGAAGCTTGAGCTCCCGCTATCTGGTTTGGTTCTACCTGAGGTTTTTGCTCTTCACTTAGTTCTTTAGCTCATTTCTTTCACCCTTGTTCTGCTGTCCGTGCTTCTGCTCTCGCCCTCTGCCTGCTCTCTGTTTCTTCTTGTTTGGCTTTAGTTGCTTCCTTGTTCTACCCTGCAAAAAATACCTTTGGACATGTTTCACCTTTTTCCTGTAGAGTATGTATGTTCAGGTTACCTTAAGGCTGACTGAATCAGAAGTATACTACTCCATAAATACACTTCTTACCCAAACAGAATGACTTTGGTAGAAATTGCGTTTTCGTCAAGTATATTTAAACTGTGTCTGATGACAGTATACTACAGTGGGGCTAAATGATAGAACTCGCTTGGTTTGTAGGGTTATTTTTTTCTTTGCTACATTGCAACAAGAGATAAAATGTTGTTGACCCCATTCTTCCACTCTCTTTAATCAGAAGTGTTTATGAGATTCCACATGTACGAGGGCTTGTTGCTTGCTTCACTTGTAATCTCTATTTTGTCTAGTAGCCTTTGCTGATTATAGAAAAAACTCTTACTCTTCATTCTTAGTCCTACGTATTTCAAAATCAGACCCTCAAATGTAACAAGTGGATTTGAGCTGATAACGTAATTGTCAGATTCAGTCACTTAAAAATATTATTGTATTATTTTAAAAGTACCATACATCTAAAGTATGTCTGTCATGTTTTTTTTCTCTTTTAGAAATCGATGAAAGGATTCCTCTTTGCTAAGCTGTATTTTGAAATCAAAGAATATGAACTTGCTAAAAGGTAATGTATGTTTTCATATGTCTGGTTTTGTTCTATAAAGTATAAGAGAAAAGCTAAGCAAATATGAAGTAGATCAGAGAAACAAAGATGAATATTACGCAGTTTTAAGGTAGCAGTAAAGGCAGGTATTGAGTGCCATTTAAATCTTTATAAAACAACAGTTTAAAAGAAAATTAGTTATGTGGTACTGAAAAATTTGTCTGGTTGAAATGACTTTTTTTTTTCCTAATTGTATTATGTAGTTCATACTGTTTGGGCAGATTATTGCTTGGTTTTTTTAATAGATATACTTGCTGGCAAGTAAGTAGCATATGTTCATGCAAAACCATGTTGCTTCTTACTTTAAGGTCCAGACAAGGTATCTAGAACAAAATACGCCCATCTTTCCTGTATGGCAGACCAAGTTATCTTCATAGTTTGGAGGGGGGGAGTATTTTTGAAAAATATTGGTCAGGTAACTGACTTTTTTTCCCTCCTTAGGTATATATCTACATACCTCAACATACAAGAGAGAGATCCCAAAGCACACAGATTTCTTGGACAGATTTACGAAGCTGAGGATAACATAGAAAAAGCTTTTGGGTGTTACAAGGTAAGTGCTACACTGACCCATCATGTCCTGCTTTATTCTGTTGCAAATGGACTTTTAAAATCCCTCTGTGCTGGACATTCTCAAACCCGCAGAATAAAATGCATTCTTGGAAAAACTGTTAGTTATATACATTTGACAGTGGAAAGCATATGAAGCACTGTGGAGGAGGTTCTTCACTTGATAGCACTTGCTTCAATGGTATATTTTTAAGTCTATTCTTTGTTTTTTTGTTCTGGACTTGATCTTTGTGCTACCTGCTGTTATTTTTTTCCCCATGTCACGCATTGCCTTTTGAACTAAAGATCTGTGACTGTCGTAGGATTCCTTAATGTGGCTTGTGATGACAAAAGGAATCTAGGTGCTACTAGAAGCAGAAGGGAGGGGCAAATCTAATTTTGATTAGGCAATTATATAAATGTCAAATTCCCAATTGGAATGGCTTTGTTTTGAGGATGTGCTTAAAAGCCTGGTTGCCTATACAGCTCCATGAAATGCTATCACACTTCTTAAACTGTGTGTCTTAACTAAAATGTCCACATCTGGCTGGACAGAGGCCCTTACAATCCTACTGCCTGTGTACAGTTTCTGGCAGTAGAGATGCAGAGGAGATGGCTTTTGCATTATTTCTCTTAGGCTCTTCTGAATTCCAGAAGCTGTATCTGGGTGCCATAAAATAGGTGGCACTTAGAAAGATTTGCTTAATATATTCTGTATTGACAGATCTGACTAATTTGAATTGGTGGGTCTGGTTGTGTGTGGGGTAACTCCTGTTCTGTATGGATCGCAAGATCAAGTTACTGGTTTGTTTGGTTTTTCCCCCCCTCCTGTGTGTGCGTGGGGAAATCTAGCGTTCTGTGGAGTTGAACCCAACACAGAAAGATCTTGTACTGAAGATTGCAGAGTTACTATGCAACAACAACATCACTGATGGAAGAGCAAAGTACTGGGTGGAGAGAGCTGCTAAGCTCTTCCCTGGGAGTCCTGCTGTTTACAGGTTGAAGGTAAATTCCAAATTGCCTATGTTCTGTGGCTTGAAGAAACTTTCAGCATCTGGCTGGAGTGCTTTTTGCATGTCACCTCACGCAGAACTCTTGCTGCCTAAATTATTTTAGAATCTTTTAATATTAAATCCATTAGATATTCCTTGCTTTGCAGTCTGACATTTCTGTCTAGCTTTCAAGAAAGCTGCAGGCTTTCATACACATTTTAGCATTTCAAAGCTAATGTTCCTCAGAAGTGCCAAGAAACTGTGTTAGTTATGACATCCAAGAAGTTAAGAGTAGACAGGCACTACCTGATTTTTCGGTTGTGTGACTGGTAGGAAGGTAGCTGGCCTGTGAACTCTGCCTTTCTTGCTCTGCGCTGTTTCTTTGTTTTTTAAATCTGTATTATGATCACTCCGCTGAATGTGAGCAATGCTGTAGTTCTCAAACACCGTGTAAATGCTTTCATTCGTGCAATCTCCACTTTCACACAGGTATATTAATTCTGTGTAGCTAGGCAGCAACCACCTTGAACTGTTAGGATGTCTGTTGTTTAAAGCAAGGTAGCCTGTGGCAGGGTATGCTGACACTGAACTATGGTTTGACAAGCATTACTTACCATAGGTAAGAGGCAAATTCTTCTGAGGGTTTTTTCCGTGATAGTTATCTCCATTTTTAAATATTTGAATTTTTCATCAAACTTTATGTAATACCTGAAAGCCATTAAGAGTGTTGTAGTTTGGGTAGCGTAGTCCATGTAGTGGAGGAAAGGCAACTGTCTGGTACTGTGGTTGCTGAAAAGACTCGTGTGAAAAAAGAAATACTAACGTGTTGCCTTCATGTTTAACAGGAGCAGTTATTGGATTGTAAAGGTGAAGATGGATGGAATCAGCTTTTTGACTTGATTCAAGCAGAACTTTATGCAAGACCAGATGATGTCTACATAAACATCAGACTAGTTGCACTCTACCGTTCAAATAATAGATTAAAAGATGCTGTGCTCCACTGTCAGGAGGCAGAGAAGAAAATACCTTTGCAGTCAAGCTTGGAATGGTGTTCCTGTGTTGTAGAGACATTTGAGGTGTTTAATCATATTCTGATCCTGTGATAGTCTTCCGTATCTTTCTAACTGGTCTATTTCTCTTAGTGTCGTTATTCTGACAGCTGTTTCTCAAGTGATTTAACTCCTTCAAATGCAAGTCTGCTGAAGCCAGTGGGATTACAAAAAACTTCTTGTTTTTTTTAATTGAATTTTCTCCCTAAAAATAAGTCTTAGAGCTATTGATTTTCTGACTTCAAAAGCTGAATTAGATACAGCAGTTCCATTAGGGATAAAATTGCTCAGACAGATAGTTCCCTGGAACTTTGCTGCTGAAGAATACGTTAAGGTCTCACCTGTGAAACTGGATTATGCAGTAGATGCTACTAATAGGTTTTGGAGAAGTACTGCCCTTGCCTTCGTGGAAGGATGACTGTTTCTTATCCTATGATGAACTTTCTTCTTTAGGAATATCTGGAATCTTTTCAAGACTTGGAATCTGATAAAAATAACTGGAGAGCCATCAAGAAAGATCATCTGCTGGCCTATTCCAGCTTTCTCAAAATGACACTGTCCTCTAGAGATGTTCAGGAATGCAGAGAGGCACTTGAAAGGTACTGTTTTAACTTTCCTGTAGTTTAAAAAGAAAAAATTCTCCACACCCCCCCCCGCCCCGTCACAGACATCTACCAAGCTTTGATTTCACTGCTTAACTTGTTTGAGAATGGGAGAAAAGATTGTCTGTACTAGCTGCTAAGAACTGTTCTTACTGGGTTTGAACCCAGGCTGTCTTTTGACTGAGATGCAGGCTTGTTTGAATAGTCAGCACAGAGCCATGGAGGAGACTCTCACTGATACCGCGAGTCAATTCACTTTGTACCTTCTTTCCCTTCAGTGAGAGAATGTTGTTTTGTACTTTACCAGTTGACTAATCCAGATTTCCCAGACAATTAAAAAAACCCCTACCCAACAACAAGAAAAACTCCTAAAACCACCTCTTGTATGTCAGCTTTGTCCTGGTCATTTTGTCCTAAATTGACACAGCACATACAACTAAAGTTGCAAATTATTCCAGGGTAGTGTAATTGGGAGGGATTAAGCCACTTCCAGTAAGAACCTTCTCCTTCCGAGAAAACTGATGGTGTTACAGGGTCAGTTGAGCCAGCTGACTTCAAGGCATATCATCTGTAGTACAAAACAGTGTTTGGAGTCTGTGTATTGATTAAGATCTGTGTTCCTTTCTTCCCATTATCTTCCCTTTCTTACTGGCTTTTATTGACTTACCTTTGTATGTCACATGCAATGGCTGTTGTATTGTCCTTTGTAAAACTGTATTCTTCAGTCTGTTAACTCTGAGTATGTGAAGCAGTACAGACAATGGATGAGGAGTATTTAATGCTAAAATGTGTTCTTCCTTTTCTTTTTCTCCTTAAATTTGACCAGTATGTTGGGGTTTCTGCTGCTGTTTTATTGGAGCCTTTCAGGGTGATTACCTCTGAAGCACTTCGGTTAGCATCACCATGATCTAGCCTTTAGAGTTTTGTGAGGAAATAAAGAGCTTTAACTGTTTTCTGGAAAGCCTCTCCTGAGTGAGGGTTGTGTACTAGCCTACAGCTGCTCAGATTTCTACAGTACCTTCTATTTTTGAAGAGCCTGTCTAGCTGTATTTTGTGCCTTTCTGATAAATGAAGGGAAGAGCACAGTGACTGGTGCCTCCTTGCATATATGTCTGCAGGAGTGAACAAGTTCATACATGTCGTTTGGGAGAACAGTTTTGCAAGCAGCTGTGCAAAAATGCGCTGAAAAAGACTAAATAATTATCTAGGTGATATTTAATGTTTTACTTCAGTAAACTAAGTTGAGAGCTTTAGGAGTTTGGGACCATTATTGTACCCTCTAGTGCAACTCTGGTTTAAGCAACAGGCACAGTGTTAGCTATTGACTCATGAAGTTACTTGATTCAGGGTTAAATAACGTCAACCAAAACCATCTTCTATAGCTTTTATGAGGACTCTGTTTAGAATGAGTCTTCTCTGCGTTTCAGTTTTGATCGTGTACTTCAGTCAGTGAAACCGTATGTGAACGGGGCTGACGAGTTGTCCCGTACCGTTGTGGAAATGAAAGGACAGCTCTACATGCATGCTGGAACGTTGCTATTGAAAATGGCCCAGCACAACGAGGCACAGTGGAGAGCAGTGTGTGAACTAGCAGCATTGTGTTACCTCATAAGTTTCCAGGTAAGTAATTTTTCAGTTGATGCCTCTAGTCGATGTGGTTCTTGAAATATTCTTGCTGTATATGTCCTGAACTAGTGTTTGTCTGCCTAAGGAAAGACTCCCTCCTCACTCACTGAACCCTACTCCTTCACAATCCTTTAAAAGGCTTCCAATGACATGAATAGAGTAAAAGTGTGTCTTCAGCTGTTTCCCTTGTCAGGGTAACCTGGTTCTTAAAGGCTCTTAAAGAGCTTATTTCCTACAGTCTGTGCTCTTTTGTGTACAGCTGAGCGCATCATGTTAAGTATTAGGCCTACTGTTATAGGGAGGGAAGGGGATGAACTGAATAGTTCCCATACACTTGTTGCACAGACAGCAGAACTAAGAAAATCAAGATTTATTCTTTGCCTTCTGAAGTAATATTGATTGTCCTTTTTATGCCATTGCTTGCATTCCAGGCATTAATTGGTCTTGTGTGCACTTCATGTTGCTTGCAGTAGCTATAATTGCCCACCTTGGGGTTTTGGGTAGGTTCCCCTACCTCACTCCCTCCAGGATATGTGACACAGTCTCTTCAGAATGAATTATGTATTTCTTTCTATAGTTTTCTAATACTAAAATGAAGTTTGTTCTCTAATTCTTAAGATTAATTTAAATGATCTGCTGTTATGGTGGAAAAAAACCTAACAATTCTCTCCTTGCTTCACTAGGTTCCTAAGCCAAAGTCAAAACTAATAAAGGGGGACCAAACTGGACAAGACATGTTAGAAATGTTGGCCTGTGATCGAAAAAGCCAGTCTGGTAATAAAAATAGCTACATACCTCTTAAAGTAATTCTCCGTTACACTAAAACAGATCTGAGTTAAAGAAAAAAATCGTTACCTTGAAATGTAATGTTAACACTTCAGTATGAATGAAACCTCCTCAGTTCTGATGGCATATGTCAACCAAAATAGTTTTGCTGACACCTGAAGTTTTGTTTCTGCTCCTTAGCATGCTTGTAGAGTGCCTTCTCTTTTTTCAAGTGTGGGGTTGTTTTCCTCCTTTCTGCCTCTCCAGCACACTAAGATAAAATTTAACTTTCATGGTCTCTTAATCTACTGGAAATGGCTTCTGCTTGCTGGTACTATTTTGCAAGTATTGTTAACCCCAAGAGGAAAAGAAAATATTACTGTTTCCGTGTCCTTTTCATCCTCTTACTTGTTCATCAGCTTGGCTCTTTTTGCTGTCAAGTATAGACAGGGTTTTAGCCTACAAACTCTTGCAGGGCCTGGATGAAACCAAACAAACTCACTAGACATCAGGTTCAATTCTTTCAAAATGCATCTCGATAGGACAGGCTTCTACTTCTATTACAGCTCTTTATTTCAAGGACAGTTGTATTGTGTCCAGAATAGTAATAATAAGATGACTTAGTTTTCCCAAAGAACTGGATTTACAGATGCCTTGGGATTGTTGTCACTGAAAGCTTGGAAAGCCTATGTGCTGAAACACTGACCTAATTACGGGGGGGACATAATCTGTAGGATTCATAAGGGGAAATCCTGATTGCCTCCCAGCTTTTGGTGCCAGGAACAGTCCAGTGTTTCAAATATCACTTCACATAAAGCAGTGAACATAAGCAATATTTTTGTTTTCTAGGTCATATGTTGCTGAACTTAAGCCATGGCAAGCAAGACTTCTTTAAGGAGATTGTGGAATCATTTGCAAACAAGAGTGGTTCATTTACATTGTTTGATAGTCTGTTTGAGAGTGGAGCTTCTAGAGAAAGATCTTTTATTGGCATGGATGATATTGGAAATGTCACTACACAGCCACCAGCGCAAGTGGAACTTAATAAATACGACATTGGTAAGAGGTGGTACTTCTGAAACTCAGTACAATTTTCTGTGCTAGAAGCTCTTCCAGAAATGCTTCGTATTGCAACAAGAGACAAATACCTGGAATAGTTGTCCAAAGTTGCTCTAATGTCCTAGTGTGCTGAGTTTATTTGGGATAGTTAATTTTCCTCTGTAGCTAGCATGAGGCTGTGTTATGATTGTGCTAAGAAGAATAGTCATAACATACTAATGTTTTTGCTTGTTGCCAAGGAATGTTGATATCAACTCAAGGATTTTTTCAGTTTCTGGTAATGCACCTGTGTTCCCACCACCTTCTCTACAAGAGGCTGGGAGGGGACACAGCCAGGACAGCTGACCCAGACTGACCAAAGGGGTATTTCATGCCATACATTGTCATGCTGGGTATATAAGTTTTGAGGGGTAGGCTGGGGGTGGGTGGGTGTTTCTTTCTAGGGTTCAGGCTCTCTGGACTGGCTGGGCATTGTTTGGCGAGTAGTGAGCAGTTGTATAATTTTTCTTTTTTGTTATTTTAACTACATAGTATTGGCAGTAATATTAGTATTGTTAATCTTATTGGTATCATTTCAGGTATTTAATAGCTTTTATCTAAACCCACGAGTTTCCCTTGTCTTTTCCTCTGTTTCTCTTCACCATCCCACAGGGGAGAGGGGGGAAGTTGGGTGAGCAGCTGTGTGGTGCTTGGTTGCTGGATGAGGTTAAACCACAGCAGCCAGGTGGGACTTAGACTTCATTGCAAAGTAAAATATGCTCTTGAATAATTCCTTCAAGACTTTGGAAAGTAAATAGGCTGGCTTAAAAATAACTACCTGTTGGACTGAATGTGGTGTGGGTGGAACTGCAGTGAAATCTGAGAGTCACTGCCTCAGAAGCTTAAGAGCTTGATGTTTGGTTAATTTGAAGTTTTTAATCTTTCGTAAGTGGAAGTTGGGATCCTGATGCTTGTTGGTCTGCAAAATATCTCTGGCTGCTCTGACAGTGAAATGTGAAACCCAGCCTCACATCTGCATCCAACCTTGTTTTTGCATAGGTGCTGTTCGAATGCACAGCGGCAGCCTCCAGCATCTTGTGTGGCTTGGCTTGCAGTGGAACTCCATGTCAGTCATACCCCCAATGCGCAAGTGGTTAAAACAGCTTTTTCACTTGCCCCAAGAAACATCGAGACTTGAGACAGATGCCCCTGAATCCATTTGCTTATTAGACCTTGAAGTAAGTAAACTTTCCAAATTCTTAAATGTACTATACAATTTAAGTTTTCTTGGTGTTTAATACCTTTTATTTATTTGCTTTTACAAAAACAGGTGTTTCTACTTGGGGTGATATTCACTAGCAACTTACAGTTGCAAGAGAGATTTAATTCTCACTATGGCGCACATCAGCCTCAATTTTTACCGTTGCCAGTGTGCAAACAGCTCTATACTGAAAAGCAAAGATCCTGGTGGGATGCCGTTCGTACTCTTATTCAGAGAAAAACAATGTAAGTCTCTCTCAGTTTGGAAATGTTTGACCAAGCTTTTGGGTAGCTGCTGCTACAGCAGCTTGGATTTGTCCCTTTAGATCCTTGTAAAACTAGATTTTCTCTTTGACGTATTTTGGACGTTGAAGCTTTGTTGTGGTGGGGACTTGATATACTTGAAAGATTTCTAAAAATAGAATTTTAACTTCTAACAATGCATTTCTAAACTAGACGCAGATTAGGACTAAAACTGCAGGCTATATTCATTAAGCAAATGGTGTGTGAACAGATGAAAACCAGAATGCTAATCAAGGAATGTTTCTTCTGATATACTCAGACCAGGAACAGCAGCAAAACTGAGGCTTATCGTACAGCATGGAATAAGTACTCTGCGAACACTGGAGAAGCATGGCCTTCAACCTGCCTTAATTATACACTGGGCAAAAAGCCTGCAAAAAACAGTAAGCTGAGATTATTTTTAAACATGTAGAAGCCACGGTGTTTTTTCTTATTTTCCAAACTATAAACTGACTGGGGGGTGGGGGGGCGGGATCAGTTCAGAATTTGTTATTGAGGACTCTTGTTTATGTTGTCAGGCAAGTGATGTGGGGTAACAGGTTTAAACTGAAAGCGGGTAGGTTCAGATTAGATAAAAAATTCTTCCTGGAGAGGTTGGTGGGGCACTGGCACAGGTTGCCCAGAGAAGCTGTGGATGCCCCATCCCTGGAAGTGTTCAAGGCCAGGCTGGAGGAGGCTTTGAGCAACCTGGTCTAGTGCAAGGTGTCCCTGTCCATGGCAGGGGGGTTGGAACTAGATGGTCTTTAAGGTCCCTTCCAACCCTAACCATTCTGTGATTCTATGAAATTAACTGTTCTAGTAACCCTATAAAGTACTGTCTTACACGCAGAAAATAACACTACAATGTATGTTACTTTACATAGCTCAGGAGGTTTATCTCAAGTGTCAGAGAAGCACTCTTGGAACTTTTCAAGAAAACAGAGGAGGATATGTATGAATAGCATTTGGACTTGAATTTGTTGTAATACCGTGTGCTTTTGTTCCTTTTTCTTCACCAGGGCATTAGCCTTAACTCCTTCTATGACCAGAAGGAATACATTGGACGAAGTGTCTACTACTGGAAGAAAGTTTTGCCTGTGCTGGAAACTGTCAAGAAGAAGAGGAGCATTCCTGAACCTACCGATCCTCTCTTCAAACACTTCCATAGTGTAGACATTCAGGTACAGATTGATTAAACCAAGGTTGATGTGAGAAAGGGTCTGTGTCAGAAACTCACATAGTTGCACAATTTTTCTCTGCATTGTACAACTTGTATTGTTACTACTACAAAGGTTATACCAATGAGATTTGGTAGTATCAGTGTCTGTTAAAAGGGAAAACCAAAAATCTCTCCTTGCAACTTTATTCTTGCCTTTAAAGTTGTGTATTTGACTGGAAGGCACTGAACACCCTTAGTATGAACTTGCTTTAAGTATTTTCCCTGTATTATAGGGGTGAAGAATAACGGGTGTGTCATTCCAGTGTTGGGTAGGAGCTGTCTTTCGCTTTCTTTGTAGGTTATTCAGGTTGCAGCGTACGAAGAAGAGGCACGTATAGCGTTTGCGATGTTGGATGCAGTCGATGGCAAAACGGATGATGCTTTATTAGCATTTGAAGCTATTAAGAATGTGGTTTCATACTGGAATCTTGCTGTGGTGAGTTTAGAAATTACATTACCTCAGTGCTTTGGTTTATTCAGTTGCCTGCTGACTGATGCTAATTAATCTGCATCCTGTTCTTTAGATCTTCCAAAGAAAGGCAGAAGAAATTGAAAATGATGCCATGCTGCCAGAAGAACAAGAAGAACAGAAAACTTATCTTCGTAAAAGCAAGCATTACCTAATGAAGATCATTGAGGAAAGCTCCTCAGATATGTCAGTCACTGAGAAAGTAAGTAATTCTTGCATTAAAAACTTGTTTCAGGAGATGTAGTGGCTTTGGTTACTGTTTCAAAATGAAACCGTTAGCATTTGTTAGTGTTGTTTTTTTAGACCAGGCTTTTGCATTCAAGCAAATTTAAACCTTATTTCTTTGCTCAGGACAAATAATCTGCTTAACACCACAGGTTGATAAACTCTGGGTAGCTTCTGTAACCTACCAGATTGTGCAATATTCTGACTACTCTGTGCATGAAAGCTTTAATGCAAACAAAAAACTTTTTGCCCCTATCTTTTTATGGGAGTTGGTAGTTTAAAAAAATAGAATTAATGTTTGTGTGAATTGTTTTCTTAGGTTGATCTTAACAGATTCAGAGCTTTGCTGGAAAAACAGTGTTTGTGTAATGAAAGCCTTATCAATTGTGCAGCCAGATTTCTGAATGTAGTCTGTCTCGCTCTAAGGGAAATCAGTCATGACTCTTGTTTCAAATAATATTCTAGCTGCCGGTGTCTCTTGAAACTGTGAGGGAAATGCTAGATACAGTCATCCAGGAACTTGGTGAGAATGGTGAAGAGGGAAGTCCTGCCTTCAGAAATGGTCTGTCCCGAGCTATAGATTCAGAGATGAAACACTCCACTCCATCACCAACTAAGTTCTCTCTTTCACCAACAAAGAGCTACAAGGTATATTAGCCAGCTATCATTTCAGAGAATTGTTATATTTGAATAAAGACTCACAATTCAGTAAACTTTTTTTTTCTCCTCTTTTCTTTTTTCTTCTTCCCAGTTTTCTCCTAAAACCCCTCCTCAGTGGGCAGAAGATCACAGATGTATACTTCAAATGATCTGTCAGCAAGTGGAAGCTTTAAAGGTAAAGAATTTTGTCACCCTATTCAGTGAAGAACACTTGGCCTTTTGGTTATGGTAGGGGCTTAGTGATAATAGCATGGGCTAACTTAGAGTTCTTGGACTGCTGTTTAAATCAGTGGAACTACCATCTCTCAACATGTCCCTAAATCGAGTGCAAAAGAGTCTTTTTGCTTAAAAATTCTTATTTGGGGCAGGGTTGCCTCTGTGGCCCTGCGAAAGACTATGCAGAAAGAGTTCTGCTTCCATCAGCTTGGTTCTTAGCCATTTGGCTCTGTGGGTTTTTTGTGGTGGTTTTTCTTTTTTTGACTTCTGGCTTTAGAACACAATCTTAGTACTTTGTACTGCATGGGCAGACCTTGGATGACTCTGTCATGTACTTCTTGATTGATTTACCATTTTTTTTTTTCCTGAGCTTGAACATCCTTTATAAATAGGAAAAGGGTAGGAAACATTCCTTAGGTTTTCTTCTACAAATACTTATGTGATATATACTTATTCTTGATTGGCACGCTGTCTTGACAGAATGAAATGCAAGAAATGAAACTTAATAATTCCAACTCAAATGCAGCATCTCATCGGTGGCCTGCTGAAAACTATGGAGCAGATACAATGTCAGATGGTTATCAGAGAGCACAAAATCTTCATGAAGCTCCATTAACAGGCAAGTTGCTGCTGAATTGTTACCTAAATGCTTAGCTAAACTAAGTCAAACTTTAGAAGGTAGTGCAGAAATCTTTTAATGGTTCACAGTTAAAAACTGATTGCTGTGGAGAGGCAATTCAATACTACAATGACAAAACCAAGCATAAACTGTTGTCCTGCCCTTCCTTTTTAGTTGCTACCACTGGCCCGTCCGTTTACTACAGCCAGTCACCTGCCTATAATTCTCAGTATCTTCTCAGAACTGCCGCAACCAACGTAACACCAACAAAGGTGAGAGAAATCTGTTGACTTAGGCTGCTTCTAATGGTCTGTTGAAAGTGACTGCTGTTGATTCTGCATGTAGGTGGATGTAACTGCAGTTCCTTATAATGCAGTGTTTGGTAAACTTGGAGTGATAGGAATAAACTATCGGGTTTTCTGCATAATTTCTGGGAGGTGGGGTTTGAGAGGAAAAGCCAGCAAAATAGCTCTATAATATGTTAGTACATGTTCCCTACAGGGCATGTGTACATTTCTGGGGTTCCCCTTCCCTTGCTAAGTAGTATGGCAAAAGAGAATGGGATTTACAAGGTGTTTTTCATGAGAAAAAACCCCAGACATTAATCTTGTGCCCCTTTTTCAATCTTTATTTAATCATAGAAACATTTAGGTTGGAAAAGACCTTTAAGATCATCACGTTCAATTGTTAGGTTAACACTGCCAGGTCCACCACTAAACTGTGTCCTCATCTGTACCTCATCCACATGTCTCTTAAATCCCCCCAGGGATGGTGACTCCACCACATCCCTGGGCAGCCTGTTCCAATGCCTGAGTTCCCTTTCCGTGAAGAAATTTTCCCTAATATCCAATCTAAACCTCCCCTGGCACAACTTGAGGCCCTTTGCTCTTCTCTTGTCACTTGGGAGAAGAGACCAACCCCCACGTCTCTGCACCCTCCTTTCAGGTGGTTTCCGATGCCCTTCAAGATTTAAAGTAATTAGTTTAAACTAAGCTGAAATTAACTTAGATTTAAACTTGTATGAAAGTGTGCCTTGCTTTTAAGAGTACATGTTAGGCAGGCTTCAGCACAGTATGACTTCGTCCTCTACATTACCGTAGCAAGCAAAGCAGTTGTTTTCTTTTTCTTCAGGCGCCTGTCTATGGTATGAACAGACTCACGCCTCAGCAACATATATATGCCTATCAACAGCCAATGCATACGCCACCTCTGCAAAACACTTCTTGTATGTTTTCCCAAGAAATATATAGCACACCTCTGCGTTTTGATTCTCCCGCTACTGGGCTCATTTCTCCTCGTGTGGGTGATGATTACTACAATTACAGTGTTCCACAGGCAAGCACAAATCCACCGTTGCCTGAACCGGGCTATTTCACCAAGCCGTCGGTTGCGCCACCGACTTTAAAGCCTGCAGAATCAAAAGTGATAGAGTTTCAGAAAGCTAAATTTGGACAGCCAGCAACAGCAGAAGGATCAAAACCGTGTCTGTCAGCACCAGCGCAGCCAAGTCAGCCAACGACTTTTAAATTCAACACTAACTTTAAGTCTAATGATGGAGACTTTACCTTTTCTGCTCTACAAGTTGCGGCGCAGCCTCCTAATGCAACTTTTAATAGTAGTGAAAGCCTCTTGGATCTTCTGACGTCTGATAAACCTTTACAGGATGATAGATACAGCGAACAAAAACCAGTTAACGATCACGCAAATAGTCAAAGGAATGTCTTCAGTTTTGGCGGTAGACATATTTCAGGCATCTCTGTTAGAGAAGGCATGGGACAAAATGCACCCAAAAGCCTGGGTTTTGAGAAAAATGGTATATTTAGTGTCCAGGAACCAAGCAAGCCTGTATTTATGACTCCAAATTCAGATTTGGCCAATAGAAGTCATGAAACCGAGGGAGGAAGCACCCATGGTGGAGATGAGGATGATGATGGTCCTCATTTTGATCCTGTGGTGCCACTCCCTGACAAGATTGAGGTGAAGACAGGTGAGGAAGATGAAGAAGAATTCTTTTGCAACAGAGCCAAACTCTTTCGTTTTGATGCAGAATCGAAAGAATGGAAAGAAAGGGGTGTTGGAAATGTCAAAATACTGAAACACAAAGTATCTGGCAAATTTCGTCTCTTAATGAGACGGGACCAAGTGCTGAAAATCTGTGCAAATCACTACATAAATACTGATATGAAATTAACTCCAAATGCTGGATCGGATAAGTCATTTGTCTGGCATGCTTTAGATTATGCAGATGAGTCACCAAAACCAGAACAGCTTGCCATTAGATTTAAAACCCCTGAGGAAGCAATGCTCTTCAAAAGTAAGTTTGAGGAGTCACAGACTATTTTAAAAACCTTAGGGTCAAGTATTGACATGTGTGTGACCCAGAGTAGTGGGAGTGCAAGAGAAACAACAAATCAGGACATCAAGGAGCCTAGCAGATCCGTTTCTGAGACCCCGAACTTTGGCTTTCAGTTCCCGAAAGATGTGGCGAGCAGCGAGTCTGACAGCAAAAGCAGCCTTACGGCTACATCAGCTGTGTCTGGTCCTACCACTTTTTCTTTTGGAAAGGAAGCCCTGCAGACCCATTCTGGTGGGTTTGGGCAGTATCTCTTGAAAAAGGATCAGTGGGAGTGTAAAGTTTGTTTAGTTCCAAATGAGGCAGCGGCAAAGAATTGTGTGTCGTGTCAAAGTCCAAATCCAGATACATGGGAGACGCATGGCACCCCGTTAACTGAATCTGCCGCGAGTCTCAAAGCCAACGGTAACGCTGCGCAGGACAAATTTGGATCTGCTTTTGCTAAAAAGGAAGGTCAATGGGACTGTAATGTCAGTTCGGTTAGAAACGAACCCACTGCCTCCCAGAGTGTCGCCTGCCAGAACCCAGACAAAACCAGTACAGCGGTATCTGGTCAACAGACTCCTCCTAAATTTGGCCAAGCGGTTGCTCCAAAGGCTAGTCAAAATGACTTGGGAACTGCTTTTCCTGAAAAAGGTGGTCAGTGGGACTGCTCTGTATGCCTAGTCCAAAATGAAGCAAAAGATGTGAACTGTCATTCTTGTCAGAGTCCGAACTCACAAAGTCAGCCAAATGTGCCTGTACCTACTGTTCAGGCATCCCCTGCTCCCAGGTTTGGTTCCGTTGCTGATGCAAGTAAGCCACAGAAAAATGGATTTGAAGGCCTTTTTGCTAAAAAGGAAGGACAGTGGGATTGTAGTACTTGTCTTGTGAGGAATGAGGGTTCTTCACCAGCCTGTGTAGCTTGCCAAACACCAAATCCATCTGGTAAGCCTGCCAGCGATGCTTCATCAACACCTGCTTTTGGCTTGAAAAGTAAATTATCTGAGCCTGTTGGAGGACAGTTTGGAACAGGCTTTAAGTGTGATTTCTTAGAAAAGGGCTTTAAGTTTGGTCATGCTGAGCAAGGCAAGACACCACCGTTTACATTTCAGGTTCCTTCTGATACTGAAGCTAAGCCTGCAAAGGAAGGATTTAGCTTTTCAATGCCAGTGCCTGCAGAGGGATTTAAATTTGGGATACAGGAGCCTAGTAAAAATACTGCTAAGAAAGACGAGCTATCCAAAGAGTGTACAACTGGCTTCTTAAAAAGCATTGATGAAAAAGACAAAAAGGAATTGCCTTCAGATAGTGGAATTACATTCCAGTTTCAAGAAACAGCAAACAAGGAGAGAGGTGACTTCGTTTTTGGGCAGAATAGCAGCAATTTCACTTTTGCCGAGCTTGCAAAAAGTACTCCTAGGGAAAGCTTTCAGTTTGGCAAAAAAGACCCTAACTTCAAAGGCTTTTCAGGTGCAGGTGAAAAGCTGTTTTCTTCGCAAGCTTCTAAAACAGATCACAAAGCGAGCACGTCTGCTGACCTTGGTGAGAAGGATGATGATGTGTATAAGACTGAGGACAGCGATGATATTCATTTTGAACCTATAGTTCAGATGCCTGAAAAAGTAGAGCCGTTTACAGGAGAGGAAGACGAGAAAGTGTTATATTCCCAAAGAGTAAAGCTGTTCCGGTTTGATCCAGAAACCAGCCAGTGGAAAGAACGTGGGGTGGGCAATCTGAAAATTCTTAAGAACGAAGTTAATGGCAAAGTAAGAATATTAATGCGGCGTGAGCAGGTACTGAAGGTGTGTGCAAATCACTGGATAACAACAACAATGAACTTGAAACAGCTGTCTGGCTCAGATAAAGCGTGGATGTGGATGGCCAGTGACTTCTCTGATGGCGATGCCAAGTTGGAACATTTAGCAGCAAAATTCAAGACGCCAGAGCAGGCTGAGGAGTTCAAACAGAAGTTTGAAGAATGTCAGAGGCTACTTCTAGACATACCACTGCAGACACCCCATAAACTTGTTGATACAGGTAGGACAGCTCAGCTGATACAGAAAGCAGAAGAAATGAAGTGTGACTTAAAAGACCTCAAAACATTTCTGACAGATGACAAAACTAAACTGTCGGAAGAGGAAAATGTAAACTCTGTTTGTGCCAGCAATAATACTGATCTGGTCATAAAGTCGCAGGCTGAAAGTACTGGCCCCACTCTGGAATGGGATAACTATGACCCGCGGGAAGAAGCGTTGGATGATAGTGTGAGTAGTTCTGTCTATGCATCACCTCTTGCAAGTAGCCCTGTAAGGAAAAATCTGTTTCGATTTGGAGAGTCTACCACAGGTTTTAGTTTCAGCTTTAAATCTGCCCTGAGCCCATCCAAATCTCCTGCCAAACAGAACCAGAGCAGAACGTCAGTAGGCACAGATGAAGATTCTGATGTTACTCAAGAAGAAGAGAGAGATGGGCAGTACTTCGAACCCGTGGTACCTCTGCCTGACCTCGTGGAAGTGACCAGTGGTGAGGAAAACGAGCAGGTTGTCTTCAGCCACAGGGCTAAGCTCTACAGGTACGACAAAGATGCTAATCAGTGGAAAGAGAGAGGTATTGGGGATATTAAGATACTGCAGAACTACGACAACAAACAAGTGCGTATAGTGATGAGAAGGGACCAGGTACTAAAACTCTGTGCCAATCATAGAATAACACCAGATATGAACATGCAGCAAATGAAAGGGTCTGACAGGGCGTGGGTATGGACTGCGTGCGACTTTGCAGATGGGGAGAGGAAAGTGGAACTTCTGGCTGTGCGATTCAAGCTGCAAGATGTTGCAGACTCATTTAAACAGATTTTCGATGAAGCAAAGCATGCCCAAGAGAGGGACACACTGATAACGCCTCTTTCTTCTCGCGCTAATACACCGAAGGAATCTCCTTGTGGTAAAAACGCAGTAGCTGTGCTGGAAGAAACTACCAGAGAAAGAACTGACCTCAGCCATGCTGATGATGCTCCTGATGGAACTGTAGAGGCCGCAGAGGTGTCAAACACTTCCGAAACTCCAACAAAAACAGTGGTTTCTCCTCCAAAGTTTGTATTTGGATCAGAATCTGTCAAGAGCATTTTCAGTAATGAAAAGTCAAAGACATTCACGTTTGGAAACACTTCAGCTACTGGTTCTCTCTTTGGCTTCAGCTTTAATCCTCCAAAGAAGAGTGAGGACCAGATGCCGGTGTCTCAGGACACAGCTCAGAAAGAACCAGAAGTCTCTGAACCAACAAAAAGCTCTGGTGCTTCTCAGAAGCCTCTAGACGGCAAGGTCGACAACTTGCCTGCTTCAGCACAAGATGGACCCTCGAACTTCTCGTTTAGGCTTCTGGAAAAAGGTGAGTGTCAATTAAACTAGTAATTAATTCAACCTGTATGACTTATCAGTTATCTCTCTGCTATATGTGACTCTTTGTCTCAGTGGTTTCTTTTGGTCCTAATGTGAGTATCCAAATCTTCTCAAGTTTCACCTAACAGTGAATTTTAATTGATAATTACTTCCATATGCAGGTGTGTGGTGCAGGATGGAGTTTCATTGATTAGTGAGAACACTAGGGGATTTGGAGTAGGAGCTGTAGCTCTGTGAAGTGCTGTACCTGAACTGTAGGCTTTAAGTGATGAAAGAAGGAGCTGTGGATTCATTTTTTGAGACTTTAATAGGTTGTTGGATTGGTAGTGTATGTATGTGGGCCTTTGCTCTGAGTGGTAAAGTGTGAGAATACTAAATGCATGCTTCAGCTAAAATTTGAATTATTCCAATGATTGAACGGATGGGTGTTCTAAAACTACTCTCTATATGTTTGTGTAAAGTCTTAATTGTTGGCCTCTGCAATTTCAGATGTGTAGCATAAATAATACCAGATGTTAGCCTATTTCCTTAGCCTGAAAAGAGATCGTGTGATTAGACCCTCACTTACGCAATTTCTGACACTGAAAAAGACAGGCTTGCAGAAGTTGTGGCGGTGACACGACCACTATAACGTGCTCAGGCGTCTTTGTGAGAAGAATGCTGTTTACTAGCACTTTAATGGCAGAGTACTTCTCTTCGAAGGCTTCACGTGCTTCCCATCAGTCCAAAACTGTTTGATCAGATGGTAGCTTTTAATTTCCATACTAGTCACAGAATTAGGAAGATGTACTGCCTGTTTATTAACTAAAGTATAACGAAGTGACGTGGCGGAAGATGGTTGTGGCAGACTACTCAGGTGGGTTGGATAAGCTTGTGTAGAGTTAACAGAGGAAACTTACTGCTGTGAAATATGACTATGGAATGCTTCCAGAAAATAGATGTCTGTTCTACCCTTTCAACATTCCAGGTAAACACTTATATCCAAACAATTTATTTTTTTTAGGATTTAATTTTAGCCTCTTTAAATCTAATCCAATGGCCTTTTGGACAAGCACACCTCCCTTGCAACCTGATAGTAAAGGTATTTACATGCTGCACTGAATGTGTGATAAAAACACGTTTGGCAAAGCAGTTGGCTCAGTAATCCTAATAATTAACATGCATGCTGAAGAAGAGTAAGCTGTTTGTCAGGCTACTTTATGTGCCCTGTTGGGCAACGTCTCTGGCCTTCAGTATGTTAATATGAGCTAGCACAATGGATGGCCCTGTTTAAGCTTTTGGCTTCTGTTTGCCTTATTTTCTGAGGGTGTCTGCCTTGCCCGTCTCTGTCACAGTTTTACTGAACATGCACACTGGATCTCTTAAATTTCCCTTTTCTAAAGAAATTAAATTCTCCCGTTATTTTTAGTGTATATACCTCTTAGTGCCTGAGGTCTTCCACTTCAATGAAATATGCTTGAAGATCTCAAGACAGGTTATCCAGTAAAATGCTTGAATGTATTTAGCCCCTCTCTTGGAAGTGTTTAATTTGGTTTCCCAATTATCGATAGTTAACTACCGCACTTGTGAAAAACAAGGAGCGCACAGCAATGAGAAAGCTGACTCCTTAGCTACTGCTTATGTGTATATACTTCATGTACAACATGAGGTTCGCCTTAGCTGGTCAGAAAACTTTTGCCGAGGGACCAATTTGTTAACATTCAGAACCTGTAACCAAAACCGTTACAGCTTGTAGTTTGATTACATGTCACTGTAAGGCGTTACTAACGGTGCTTCTTGCAAGTATGCTTGCTGTAAGCATGCTCGGCTTACACTGTTCAACAGCATTTTAGTTTTAAAAGGCAAATTTTTATTCTAGTCTGCACAGGGCAGTCTTTTAATGTGGGTGTCTTACACTGACATTTTTAAACAATATGTCATTCCAAGCACCATTTTCCCCAAATTTTATTTCTGAAGAAACTGTGTTTATTTAATACTGAACTCCTGTTCTGTGTATTTGATGATCTAAAGTCAACTGTTCTCTGTTCTTAGGCGTCCCTGTGCATGGAGTTTATTAACAATTCAGTTTTACTTTACTCATTTGATGTCCATGATGTGAAGTGATCAGCATTCTATGCCAATGCTCACATTGCAAGAACTTTTTTACTACCTCAGATTGGTCCTGTTTTTTACACTAGGCGTGTGTGAGAGTGGGTGTGTGTATAGTTTAAAAACAAACAAAGAAAGTATCTCTTTCTGGTACTTCGGGCTGTTCTTCACTTCTACTTTTCTGATAAGTAGGGTATGATTATATACTTAGTGGTTATTAACAGTTGATAGTTGTCTTCAGTGTAGCTTTTTGGTGGCTTTGTTTTGCGCTCTGACTTAATAGCCCATGACTTCGAGAAGTCCTTTCTAAATTAGGTTTTCAAGCCTACCCAATGTAAATACAATCTGAGGCTTTCTCATGGGGAACATCTGCTGAGGAGTAGCTTCTGAGTTGTCCTAGAGCAACCTTCAGAAGAAATTTATGGTTCTGTACCACCAGAAGTACTTAAGTTTCTCAGGTCAGGTGATACGCTTGTCTAATGCTTTACAAGTCTGAAATAAAGTTGTCAGTTGCATGTATCAGTTACATACATTAAGGTTTAAACTGGTGCTTTTCTCTTACATCCTGATACATGCATGAGAAAAATATAGCAATATTGTGATTAGCCTAGATATTCAGGCCTGTCTGGTCTTAATGTAATTTTAAACAAAAGCAACAATATAATACATCAGTGAAAAGAACTGTTGTGCATGGTATTAGTGGGTTTTTTGGTTCCTTCCATATCCTAACAATGTTTTGTGTGGAATTTTTCCCCTGAGGAGAACGTTCTATTATCACAAAACCAGCAGTCTTTTAAGAGTGTTGTACGTATGCATGGCTCTTCGTTTTCATGGCTGCCTGCAAAGATATTTTTAAGCTGTTTGCTGCATTTTTTGAGTAAGAAAATTTAACTTTCTTGTGAGGAGAAACTGACTTAACTAAGCGAACATCTTGCTCAGTTTTAATATTCTGAGGGCAAAATACATGTTGTAATATTAATCTTTGAACCCTTTTGTCACTTTGAGTGGATGTTTGGAACTCTGGAATCTCAGTCCAGTGTTTGATAGAGCTGCTTCGTGGGGAACTTTATCTGTGGGTTACTCTGAAGTGACTCTTTAAAGTATTTCTCTTACTCAGCTGCTTTGAACAGAGGCTACTGAAAGAGACTGCATGAGAATTTTTTGGGAATGCTGCCTGTCGAATGTGATGCACTGTATCACCTGTTGCCAGGGTCTTCTAGATAGCTTTATGCTGCTCACGCTTTCGCCGCCTACCTGACTGACTTTGGAAGAACTGTTGTTGAAAATGCATTTTTGAAAATTCTTCAGTCCTAAGGAAAGCTGTTTTTTGCTGTAACTTAATGGCTGTGGGAGTAAACGCTACACGCTTACACCTCTGTGGTGAACTTGGAGTAAGCTTACTCAGTCCAGTTGGAGACATCTGCTGAACGAAGCTTATTGAATAAAACTGTCGTGGTTTAAATACATACTGATATGTAGGATACCTAGGTATCTTGATAACCTGGTACTAGAGGTACTGCAGATTTAAAAATCAGCTAGGGTTAGTGAGTTTTCTGCATAAGATTTTGAGGAAACTTATGAAAACATCTGACAGCATGCTGTCATCATAGGAACTTTAACTGCTGTTCAAGAATTTTATGCTACATTTGCTTTATACAGACTCAGAAGAGCTATTGAAATAAAAAAATGTGAGCAAAAAGGATTACTCTACAAGACTCTGGTAGTGGTTTTGAGCTACATTCTGGTATATAAATGCGTGAAACAACCTTGTAATCAAAGGGAGAGTCAATTGGGGCAGAGGTTGGGGAGGGAACACTTCGGGGGAAAAAATACTTCAATTTGAACTAGTACTTTGGATTTTGCTTTTACTCTACTATTCCTTATATTGCTCTTAATCTATTAGAAGGTACTAGTGGGAAAACTACTTTTAAAAAATAGATTTATTTCAGTGTGTCAGGATGGAGGAGTGTGTCTAAATATTACACTTGTGTCCTTGTCTCATTTTGCAATGGTGAATATCAGATTGCATGAGTAGGAAAATCGGAGTTCTTCAGGAACTGAGTAGTCTGGTTCCTAGCTGAAGGTTTACATTCCCACCGACTGCACTGTGCCACAAACTTATGGAAAGAACAGTGAGCCTTTGGGAGCACCCTTCTGCTGACTAGTTTAACTCAAACCTGGAGAATGTTAACAAATAACTTGACTTACTAAAGCAAACTGTCCTGAAAAACAGCCAGTGCCTGGTGGATATTGCTGTCCTTGTGAGGTAATTCGTATAAATAGGAAACAAATTTGTTGTTACCCCCAAACTCCCCGTCTCAAAACAACACTAAAGCCCAACCTAAACAAACAGAACCCCAACCAAACAATAAATGATGCCTAAACTGGTATATGCTTCCATTATCTCATAATAAACTCCAATCTTCATTTCCAAATCTGTCTGATTGTTCTTGTAGCCCTATGTTTTTCTGCAGTTTGCTCCAGGATGTGCTTTCGGCTTTAACCTTTGATTGCGCACTGGTGTTTTCCATACAAGTGGAATGGACAATTTAAATGTTGAAGGAGAGAGAAGAAAAAGCTATACAATGAATTTGATATTGGTATTTGTCTTTGGAAAAGCTAGTTAAACAGGCTGAAAGCAGTATTTTCCATTGTTCAGTAAGATGGAACTAAAAATTACTTCACTTTTGTAAAAAAAGTTTTGGCAACAGCTATTATGGTAAATTGAGATTGGCTAATAAAAAGCTCAGGTTCCCCACAGGCAATCTGAAGTAAGTTCTATTTGGTTGCTGTTTGTTTTCTAGAACTTAAAGTACTTTTAAACAATGCAATAGGGTATGTTGCTGTGGACAACTTCACTTTGTCTTTTTTCAGGCCTGAAATGTGCCTCTCTACTTCTCGATATCATCTGTATCTCTCTTCTCAAATCAAACACAATTCAACTGGAGGGTTTAAATGATCCTTGTAACAGTATAAAGATGCCGGCTTGTCTCTGTTCTGATACTGGAATTGCAGAGGCAATAGAACAGGATGTAGTTGGGCATGCAGGTTAGAATTTCTTAAGTTTTAACAGGATGCTCTGTCCTAGCATCTTGTAACTTTGATTTTTATTTACTGGGGATCAACAGAAAATATGTAGGTTCCAAATATATTTCTAACACCCTTAGACTTAATTCGGTTTTGTAATAATGTCAGTGTGGGGTTAATGTTATTCCCTGTTCTGAAATTATTCCGTTCTAATGGTTTGTTCAATTTCTGTGAAAAGCTGAGAAGACAACAAAGCCAGAAGATGATCTTCCATCTGATGAGGTTATAATAGTTTACGAGTTAACTCCTACCCCTGAACAGAGAGCTCTTGCCGGCTTCCTCAAGCTACCTTCAACATTCTTCTGTTACAAGAACAAGCCTGGATATGTGAGTGACGATGACGACGATGGTAAGGAGTGCCAAAGTTGATCTTTGTGTTGCCTTTCTTTGGGGAAAGGGTGTAGTGAACCCTCTAGTGTCCAGAGGAGGGTGACCAAGATGGTGAAAGGCCTCAAGGGCCAGACTTGAGAGGAGTGGCTGAGGTCACTGGGCTTGGAGAAGAGAAGGCTGAGGGTTGACCTCATCGCCATCTACAACTTCCTGAAGGAAGGCATCGGAGGAGGAGGTGCTGATAATCTCTGTAGTGACCGGCAGCAGGACACAAGGAAATGGAATGAAGCTGGGTCAGGGGAAGTTCAGGTTGGACATTTAGGAAAAGGTGGTTCTTGGAGAGAGTGGTCAGTGCAGGATCACCAGGGCAGTATTCATGGCACCAGGCCTGTCAGTTCAGGGAGCATCTGAATGATGCTCTTAGTCGTTATGGTTTAGTTTGCGAGGAGCAAGGAGTTGGACTCAATGATCCTTATAGGTCCCTTCCAACTTGAGTTGATTCTATGAGAACTGTCAGAACTGTTAGACACTCGAATATTTTTGTTTGGACTGATGGGAAATAATGCTGCCACCTTTGTTATGGCCAAAGATGTACACTCAGGTCTTTGGGACAGAACAGTACAATGAAGGCCCAGGAATGACAAAAGGGGATTTGTATTGGTGTCTTACAGGTGCTGACACTCATATTACCAATGCAGTTGGTTGGGTAAGACCATATTACCAATGCAGTTGGTTGGGTAAATAATTGGATGTTTGAGCCTAGTCTCATTTGAGGAAGGGCTTACTTCTCTAACTGTTTTTAGAGACAAGTGCAAGGCAGTCTTCATCAAGAAGGAACGTGCTCAGGTTCCCTGAATGCTAGACTGATGGCTTGGTGTTCTTCTGAAGCAAATCCCTAACACAAAACTGAAATATTTTATATCACATCTTCTTGCATGCAACTAAATTACTCAATTTATTCAGCAGCAAATATGTTAAAAGGAGGTTCTGAAGCATTGTATTCAGCAGAAAATGGGAGAAGACAAGCCCCCTCCCACAAATATCTGAGTTTGCTAGTTTTTATGTATCTTCAGTCTTCCTTCCCAGTTGTGTTTAGTGTTACTCTTAATAAAATCACTCAATGAGAAATGTATTTTCTGACCACAAAACCTGTGCCATATGCATCCATGACAATCTAGGCTGAGAAAAGTGTCAGCAGCACACTGAAGCACCTGTATGCCCGACAGGAGGTGAAAGCTGACTTGCTGCCTGGTGGATCTCTTAAAACATAAGCAAATACTGTGCATGCTCGTTAGACTTGTGAGTCAGGAGGGCTTAGCAGACTCCTCTGTACTTGGAGGATGCCTGAGAACTTATGCTTGTTTCCTGTATTTAAGATGAAGATTATGAAACAGCTGTTAAGAACCTCAATGGAAAAATCTATCCCAGCGATTCAGAAAAGAAAAAGAAACTGCAAGATCCTGTAAAAGGTACGTCATAAAACACAGTACTTAATTTATTATATACTGAAACACAAGCTCTGAATCTGAAGAACACTTGGGCACTGAGATTAACTTCGTTCCTTGAGATGGTTTTTAGAAGCACCGATGCTGAGAGCAGAGAAACTACATCACAACATACAGCTTTGAGCTCTCGATTTTGAACTGCTTATTAGCAGTAAAGTGGTACCTGAATGAGAAACGTGCATTTTAGCTGGCCTCAAAACAGGAGTATCTAAAGCGTCTTCTTACTTTCAGCCCTTTCTCTTGAATATGGAGAATTCATCTTGGCCTGATACTGTACAAGATAAAAGTTGTCTGTATCTCTGAATACTTGCTACTTCTGCAGATACTCGATTAAACCAAGCTTACGAGTTAATAGTGTTCAGTTAAGAAGATAGTCTTTATACTAAAAATATGGGTATAGAAGATTGAAATTGCTGCTGTTTACATCTGCCTTGGCTGTGCCTCAGACTTCAGCGTTGCATCACTGAAAATCTGCATGGATAGTTCTAGAAGTGAAGGCTGAAGGGTTTTGAGGCTATGTGCTAGGAGGAGGTGGTGTATATTGAGTTATCTGACGTATGACCAAATGTTGAAGGAAGCTAGTAGCAGTGGCAGCTGCAAGATTGAACTCTTCATCATTGCATGGAAATTCCCTGATAGCAATAAAGAACTGTGTGGTGGATTTCTAATTCTAGTCACCCCAGGTGGACGTAAGGTGGTCTTCATTTCTACTGTTTAAATAGTAATGCTCTTTGAAAAACTCTTGAAGTCCTTACTTCCAGTTGCTTTGGCATTCAGGAGGTTATTTTATAATGCAGGTGCCAAAAATTAATTCAGTATTTAGCTGCCTTCCCAGCTACTTTCCACTAATCTTTATTCTTTGCAGTAGACATCACAGGAAAAAGCGAATTTGACAATGAAAGAGAATGTGTTACTGCTTGGGAAAAGAAACCAACTCCTGAGGAGGAGGCTAAAGCAACAACTCTGCAGGATCCTTCTGCATCTGTCTGTGGTGTCAGTAGTGATACTGAAGATGGCAGTCCAGAAAACTTTGAGACAGAAGTTAAAATTCAAGAAACAGAAGTAAGAACTAAATCTCTACTAAAGTTTTTGTCATTAAACTTGGACAGTTACTTCATGTACATGTGAGACTTCACATAGTTTTCACCTTGTCAGAGCTAAAATATCCAGTGGGGAAAAACTATTTGACTGTCAAAAAAGAGACTGTGGCTGTGGCTCAAGTCTTTGCCAATACTGAAACAGAAGCTTAGATCTTAAGTTCCTTGGGAAGGGAAAGCAGGTACAGCTGTTCTCATAAAGTATAAACTGCTTTGGCTAGTAAAATTACTTCTAATGTATACATAAAGACTGATTTCAGAAGATAATAGTATTTTTTTGAAACATGCTACTTCAGAGGTGCTTCAGTCAAGTTCCTGTGTGTGTTAAATTTAATGAAAAACTTAAATCCTACAACTATTTTTTTCTTGGTGTTCTTTCATTTTTCTAAAACAACTATTTAGTTTCCCAGTGAGGTGATTTGACTGTTAGGCTCTTCTAGCTCACTTGCTTATTTCTTTACTTTTTTTTTTTTTTAAATTAATCTCAGGGAAATGAGGTTACAAGCTCAACTGACTTAGTCTGTACCAGTAAGGAAGAAGTACCTACTCCATCAACCGGTGAGGTGACAGTATTTCTCCAGTCAGCTGCTGACAGTGAAGAACCAGATTCCACCACGGAAACTGTGCATGGATCACAGGCTTCATCAGGGGCTGATGACAAACCTGTAGACTTGTCAACTAAAAAAAGTGATTCGGACTGTCCAGAGTCAGCACAAGGTGAGGTCAGGGCTATGGTCTGTTCTTTTTGTAGGAATGTAAGTATGCTTTTCTGTAGATAAACTAATCTGCTATAGTTGTGCCTTGGAGAGAAGTAGTGCCATTACTGAATTAGAAGCATGAGTACCAGTCTAGAAAAAATGTGACTGGGGATTAAAATAATGCTATGCATCAGATTTCTGGTATGTTCAAATGGCACTACTACGGAGCAAAGCTACTGTCTGTTGTATAACTTATATATGATGTACTTCCTGTCGTTAGTTTACTGTTAAATACCACATGCATACACTAAAGCTCTGTGGATCTGCACAGAAGTAGCATGCTGAAACTCTCACACAGTCTTGAGCCCTGTTTTTTTTTTTTTAAACCATAATAAATGACTGTCACCATAAAAATGTTATGCAGACTTTAAATTTATTGGAAGGTTAAAATAGCATAGACATCTCCAATTTATTCTTGTGACTACACAATGTTAAACACATTTTATTTAAGAAAGGAAAGGAAAAATCTTTCACCTTCCCCTCTTACTTGACAGAAAACAGAGTCATCTCATTTGGCTTCGGCAATACTACAGGCTTGTCATTTGCAGATCTGGCTTCCAAAAACTCTGGAGACTTTGCTTTTGGCTCAAAAGGTGAGTTAAACCAGTCTCTGAGACAGACACTCAGATGGACTTCTGTTTCATACAATATACCTTTTGTGCACCAAATTTCTACTCATCGATCAGTTAAGTGTTTTGCAAGTTTTTGTCAGGAAGAAAAAAAAAACTACTCAAAGTTTAAAATGTAACTCTTAATTGTAGATAAAAACTTCAAATGGGCAAATACAGGAGCAGCTGTGTTTGGAGAGACAGCCCGTAAAGCTGATGAAGATGAAGGTGGTAGTGATGATGAGGTGGTACATAGTGATGATATCCACTTTGAGCCAATTGTGTCTCTACCAGAGGTAAGGGGACTTCTGGAATATAAAACAGCATTAAGATAAGCATGTCTAAAGTTTGTTTGTTTTTTTGTTTTTTTTTTAAAAAAGGCTTTGAACTCACTATCTTTGCTTTGTGTTGTGTGCTGTGTTCCTTATTTCTTGCACTGCCTGTGTAGAAACACCTGCTGGTTTGAATCGTGGTACAGCACTGGGGAGGTGTCTGGTGCATCAGTTACCATCTTCAAAGTCCATGCCATGATGCCTTGAGTGTTGATCAGGATGCAAATCCGTACACACGAACTGTAAAAGCTGAAATGGATTCATTATGGCACAGTTAAAAACCGAGTGGGGGGGAGATAAATAACTCTTCGTGTTAATACAACTTGGCTGTCGCTTTGTGTCAACGACTTGTAGGTTCAGTTCTGCGAAAGCCATGCCAACTTAGAATTTTTAGGCTAAGGTAGGCGAGAGGTGGCTAGAATCACTAAGCAGTAAAGGTGCGGTAGAGTTAACCTCACCTGAAGGCTAAGGGAACTGACTTTGTTAGTTTGAAAAGACATTCTTTTCTTTTTCAAGGAGTAGGAGAACCTTCAGCTTTGAAGTGGGGGCTTATAACTCTGCGAGTGAGGCTTCACAGATTTGTTCATGTCTTGATTTGGTATTTAGCCTTGGTATGCCTAGTAACCATTTCAGACTTCTGAGTCTTGTTGTCTGGCTTTCCTGTAAATAATATGATGTAATTATAGATCAGTATAATTTTGTAGCAAGACAGAACACAAACAGTATGCAGTGTCCTTGAATTTGAACAGAAAATCTGACATAGTTGTAACATGCCTTCCACCACCTTCTTCAAACTTGTGTACACCTTTGCTCGTTGGTGTGTCATTCCGTGGTTTTCTTTCTTCCCTTACTTGCTGCTTCTCTTCAGTCCCATTTCTCCCTACACAAGTAGTTGTTTGTCATGTATTTCTCCAATTCTCCCAAGCATTCCTTGTCTTTGGAAGAGGTGTTAACTAAATGAGGCTACAGGTCAGTAATACGCATACATTAAGCGAGGAGGAGATGTGGCTGTCAGGCCTCTGTGTAACACAGTTGTTCATTCTCTTCAAATGCAAATATCAAGTACTTTAGCAATGTTCAGAAGGTAACAACTGGAATGGTAATAGTACTGTATCATTTGATAGTTTTCTTTTAAAGAAAAGAAAAAAACCTCACCCCAGAAGCAAAAACCAACACACATGCACCAAAAACCATGTGCAGCATGGCAAAGTAGTACTGCAGTAGTAGTAGAGCTCTTGAAGTCTGAAAAGGCTAGATGCTTCACTCAGTGATGTGGGGTGAATATGGTGCTGGACAAAAGAACACATGGAATAATTTTCCACTGTAATATGTCAGAATCATTGTAAGTGTATGTAAGACACTAATATTATTGGTGACAGCAGCTCTCTGGGAACTCAGGGTTCTCTATTGTGCTACTTTTTAGGTGGAGGTAAAATCTGGGGAAGAAGATGAAGAAATTCTCTTCAAAGAGAGGGCAAAACTTTACAGATGGGACAGAGATGCTACACAGTGGAAGGAGCGTGGTGTTGGAGAAATAAAGATCCTCTTCCACACACAGAAGAAATACTATAGAGTCCTAATGAGAAGGGACCAAGTTCTTAAAGTCTGTGCAAACCACGTCATCACCAAAGAAATGAACTTAGTGCCCTCTGATACATCGAACAATGCTTTAATTTGGACAGCTACAGATTATGCTGGTGAGTTTTCTCAGATGGTTTGTTTTTTTCTAGGTGGTCTGTAGGTTGAAGTTTAGTTTTTCCCCAAAAGTTTCTGACTATACTGAATACAACCAAAGAAACCTGTTCTCGTATTTCTTTTCAGATGGTGAAGTAAAAGTAGAACAACTGGCAGTCAGATTTAAAAGCCAAGAAATGGCTAATTCTTTCAAGAGGAGGTTTGAAGAATGCCAGCTAAGCTTGTCGGAACTACAGAAGGGACATGTATCTCTGGCAGCAGGGCTGTCAAAGGACACCAACCCTGTTGTGTATTTTGAAGTTTCTGCTGATGATGAACCTTTAGGACACATAACCATGGAGCTGTTTTCAAATATCGTCCCTCGAACTGCTGAAAATTTCAGGGCCCTGTGCACAGGAGAGAAAGGATTTGGATTCAAGAACTCCAGCTTTCACAGAATAGTCACTGACTTTGTGTGTCAGGTAAGTGTAACAGGAAGACTCCTGCCAAGATTCATCATCTTGACTAACTGTGGCACTTCAGAAAAATCACTTATGCAGGATAGCATGTTCTTGTTGGCAACATGAGTCCGGTGTGCAAGGTAGTTTCATCTGCCCTTCTCCTACAAGGGGATGAGAAATGGTGCAAGCAACACATGCTACCCTAAGCCAAATGCTTTTTACTTGCATCTGCCAGCTGCCTGATGGTTAGTGTTACCTAGTGCTGCTGTGTTAGGGTGGAAGGAAAAACAGAGATAGAGAGCTCCTCTCACAATGGACAGGAGGGCCCGTTGCTGAACAGGAATACCAAGGAAAGTAGGGGTTCCCAAAACGACCATTCAGCCCTCTCTCTCTTGCTACAGAGAGGAACTTTCACATGCTCACCTGCTAAGAACACTTGTTTTCCACACTCCTCTTAGATTTTGTAGTATGCTTCGTATTTCAGACAACATGCAATTTAAAACTGATACTCCAAATACTTTGGATGCTCAAGTTTCTAAAAGACAACTTCTGGACCTCGTTACCATGCACTGGCCTTCCTTAAAATACCCAAATTTTTCACCAAGAGCATCTGTAACAGGCAGAATGAACCACCTCCCCTACACACTACACTAATCCTCCTGCATGTCATGTCCCTGAACATGAGGCGTGACTTTCCACAAACGCAGAAGTAGACAGTAGTGAACGGCTTGTCACCAGCATAAAAAATGGTTCTGGCTCTTGGTTAAGCATTGCCTGTGCCTGAAGTGTGCCCTTCACGGCTCTCTTGCTAAGAAACTTTGCCTTTCTGATGAGGAAAGCAGCATTGCTCATTTAGGGTTTCAGCTTGTTTCAGGGTATCTCACGTGCTGTAAGAAGCAGACTTTTAACAGTTAACCACACCGTCTGTACCCTGACAAAAAGTAAGCTTTTAACACATGAAATCAGTGTATTCTAAGTGCTTTGCTTTGCCTACGCTTTCTAGAAGGTACAGTGAGAGGCTTTTCAATGAGAATTAAGGCTTTCCTTCAAAGAGATGATAACCTATACAGTCACCTCTGCGTGCATAGTCAAATACTCAGGAGCCAGAAGCTTGCTGCCTTGCAGGAAGACAAAAGGCACTGCTCGCTAGCAGCAGCTGCTCTCCTAAACAAGCAGTAATGTGGGAAAAGCTGCTGCCTGCACAGGAGCAAGAAATTACTGATCGTTGGTGCCTTAACCTCTTTCAGTGGATCAGTTCTGTGCCTGCAGGGGCTAAGCAAGGGCAGACCTTCAGTGAGGTAATGCAGGTCACAGCTGGTCAGAGGTGCAGGCAGTGGGGAAGATGGGCCTGGAGGAGTGATCACCGTGTGGAGCAGGAAGATAAAATGCTGTGTTTAGAGTAAAAGAGGGGGTAAACTTTCCACTAATGCTTCCACAACCATGAACAAAGCTGAAGCTGGGATGCCTGCTATCTAAGTAAATACAGTACTAGTGAAAACTAAGAAGTGAGTTCTTCCAGAGAAGTTTTTACTGTTGAAAGGGAATGGGATTGTGCTGTTGCTTTCATGTTTTGGGGCTTGAAAGTTAATGCTGTGACTTGTATTTTTTTTAAGGGAGGTGATATAACTAACCATGATGGAACAGGTGGACGGTCAATTTATGGAACAGCATTTGAAGATGAGAATTTTGAAGTGAAACACACCGGTCCTGGATTGTTGTCCATGGCAAACAGGGGCAGGGATACGAATAATTCTCAGTTTTTCATAACACTTAAAAAAGCAGAACACTTGGACTTCAAGCATGTGGTGTTTGGATTTGTGAAAGATGGAATGGATGTTGTGAAAAAGATTGAATCCTTTGGTTCTCCTAAAGGGCTAGTAAATGGAAGAATTGTCATTACAGACTGTGGACAAATATAGAATTGTTGCTTTGAGTATACAGATGTTCTAGCAGTATAAATCAGTATTTAGATGTTATTGACTAATTATTTCAATTTCTTAATGGACACTTCTGATGTATAAATGTAAAATTACAGCTTATAGTTTGGGTTTTTTATGTGTTCTGATTTGATTTTTTTGCATGTTAAATAAGTTCAGACACTGGCATATTTCAGGTGTATTTGTGTTATCCTGACATATTTGTATTAAATGTCAAATTTTAAAAAATAAACCTTAGTCTTCTTAAAATAAATCTCTTGTCTTCACTCTGGTTTGTTTAAAAAAAAAAAAAAAGGAAAAAAAAAAACCCCCACAAACTTACCTATTTGGCTTCCTGCTCTCAGATCTTCTGAATACATTAATTGTAGGTGCTAATTGCTGGTCAGTAAGCTGAAGGCCTTTGCAACTTGCTATTCTGATGTGCAGAAAGCAAGCTGAGGCAGCGAGGAAGTAGACGCTGGTTTATGCTGTCTGAAGCCTCTGCGCACAGCACTGCAGCATTTGAAAGCTAGAGCATAGTTCTCATGTTCTAAGTCTTTGTGGGAAAAATATACCAACTTATTTTTGTGTACATAGAGGATTTCTAAATTGTTTAGTGAAAACCATCTACTTGACCCTGGGATGTTTTCCTGAAATACTGTAGTATGACCTACTCTCTTCTCAATAGGTCTATTTAGCTTCATTTCCTGTGGGAGACTTGTCCCAATGCTGGGTGCTTCACAGAGCCACAGAACGGTTTGAATTGGAAGGGACCTTAAAGACCATCTAGTTCCAACCCCCCTGCCATGGGCAGGGACACCTTCCACTAGACCAGGTTGCTCAAAGCCTCATCCAGCCTGGCCTTGAACACTTCCAGGGATGGGGCATCCACAGCTTCTCTGGGCAACCTGTTCCAGTGCCTCACCACCCTCTCTGGGAAGAATTTCTTCCTGATATCCAATCTAAACCTCCCC